GGGATCACCCCCGACGAAAAATCCACGATGATCTCCTCGATCTTCTCTTCTTCTTCTCCTTCTTCTCTTCTTCTTCTCTTCTTCTTCTCCTTCTTCTCTNNNNTCCTCGATTTCCTCTTCTTCTCTTCTTCTTCTCTTCTTCTTCTCAAGCCCTAGCCTTCACTCTCTTAAAATGGAACAAAATGATCCAAGTATCAGCCTTACTCAACAATATAACCTCAAAAGAAATAGCCAGGGAAAAGACCAAAATGCCCTTAATTTTCCGGAGAGATTTCCCTGCCAACAGCCCAACTTCTAAAGGGCACAACTCGCTCATACGAACTCGGAATTGAGCAAACTCGGCGGTATTGGAAATATCATTCCACAAGCTTCACAACCATAACTAGAACTACTCCTAACTCATCCTGAGATGGAAGTTATGACTGCTCAAAGTTGGCCAAAAATTCATTTTTTTCACACTTAGCCAAATTTCCAAAATTTTAAATTCTTTCCAAAAATGACTATTTTTGATTTTTAAGCCGCTTCATAGTTATTTCATCTTACCGGATGTTACAATATCTCCCCCTTGGGAACATTCGTCCTCGAATGAGGTTACTCTTACAAGGCTAAGGGTGCAACAACAACTCAAACACCCAACAAGCAACTATACAAACACAACAACAACCACAACATGCTCATTATAATTAAAAGAGCACTAAAAAGGAAATTAATACCTTAATCTGCATTTCCTTCGGATTCAAAGAGATGTGGATATCTCTTCTTCATGTCTTCTTCGGCTTTCCCCAAAGTGGCTTCCTCAACAAATTGGTTCCTCCATAGGACCTTGACTGAGGCTACTTCTTTCGTTCTCAACCTACGAACTTGACGATCTAAAATCTGAACAGGAACCTCCTCATAAGATAAGTTATCCTTGATCTTAAAACTTTCAGTCGGTAGGATAAAATGAAGGATCGCCTATGCACTTCTTCAACATGGAGATGTGAAATATTGGATGAACCGCTTCTAGTTCCTGTACTTTGGTATTTGTCAACTGCGCTCAAGCAGTGTTTCCTGTACTTTGGTATTTTTCCAGAATATCACGTGGTCCATTTGATCACATATTATGGTTGTGGATGGCTGAAGGATTTGTACCAACAGGAAAAGAAATAATGGAGGATGTTGTTGAAGGCTTCTTCAATGAGTTGATAAGACGAAGCTTGATACAAGTGGTACACACATTTTGGGAAAAAGTTGGTAAATGTAGGATTCATGATCTGCTTCACGATCTTGCCGTACAAAAAGCATTGGAGGTAAACTTTTTTGACATTTATGATCCAAGAAAGCACTCCATATCCTCCTTGTGTCTTAAACATGCCATTCATAGTCAAGGAAAAAGGTATCTCTCACTCAATCTTTCTAACTTGAAGGTTAGGTCACTTATGTTCCTTGATACGGATATTTTAAAGATGGGTCTTATAAAGTTCCATAATGTGTTCCAACATCTATATGTGTTGTACTTGGAGATTCATGTTGACAATATGTGTATACTGTATAGTACCTGATGCCATAGGAGGTTTGTACCACCTCAAGTTCTTAAGATTGAGAGGTATCCATGATCTTCCCTCTTCCATTGGCAAGCTCAAGAATTTATAGACACTTCTTGTCAATGACTATGGATACTTTTGCAACTACCCCGCGAGACAGCTGACCTGATAAATCTAAGACATTTAGTTGCTTCGTATTCAAAACCTCTGAAACGTATAAGCAAACTCACTAGTCTTCAAGTTCTTAAAGGCATCCATTGTGATCAGTGGAAAGATGTTGACCCTGTTGATTTAGTCAATCTTCGAGAATTAAGCATGCATGAGATTACCAAAACTTACTCACTAAACAACATTAGCAGCTTGAAAAACCTTAGCACTCTAAAATTGTGCTGTGTAGCTTATGTATCATTCCCAAACCTTGAATATCTTAGTTCTTGTCAAAACCTTCAGAAATTGTGGTTGGAGGGGCAAATAGAAAAACTGCCTCTCTCATAGCAGTTTCTGAATTCCATCGCCATGATGGTCCTTCGGTACTCAGAACTCATGGAAGATCCCATGTCTACTCTAGGGATGCTCCCAAATCTAAGGAATCTCGATTTTGTTTAGAGCTTACGGAGGAAAAGAAATTACCTGCAGTGATAACAGCTTCAGCCAACTGGAGATCCTTCGTCTTGATTGTCTTGAGAACTTAGAAAGATGGGTTTTAGCCAGAAGTGGCATGCCTCTGATTAAAGGTCTTGGTATCCAGCGTTGTCCAAAGCTACATGAGATTCCTGATAGAATCAAAGACGTGGAGAGAACTCCTTTTCAATGAAGCTTTTCAAGCATATATGATGTCCTATTTCAGCTCTTTCATAATCGTAGAGGTAATAAATCCCAATCCCCAATGATCATTTCTTAAATTCCTTTTAATTACTCACTCTGCCGCAGATTTGTTAGTATAATGTTTAATTTTTATACTATGACAGTACAATTTTTTTTACATTATCACCATACTAAAAGAAGTCAACTATAAACAATTGTCTATTAGTAAATCACTTATGCATGAGATTTTGTCTTGTATCACAAATTCACAACAACAACATACCCGGTACTGTATTCCCACAGAACGAGGTCTGGTGAGGGTAGAGTGTACACAAACCTTACCTCCACCTCAAAGATGAGGTAGAGAGATTATTTCCAATAAACTCTCAGCTCAAGATAAAAACAGACTAGAAAAAGACGTAATGGAAGTAGAAGAGACAATAGGTAGTAACAAAACAACAGATGAAAGCAAAACAGTACTACAACCAAATAATATTACAATCGAACTACACGAAACAATAGATATCAATAAAATGATTTTCTTCATGCCAAAAACACACTGAATTGTATTGGTAATCTATTATTTGGTCAACACTTGATATTGTCCTGATCATTATGATTAATCATCAATTTAGGTTATTGATAAATCTTTTGTTCTTTATTGAATACTATTCCTCATATTAAATAGTGTCTTACAATTTTGGTTGAATAGGAGAAGCAGCAGCTGGCAGGTGTGGAACTTTTTGCCAAGCATTTCAAGAGATTTACATGGAGCAAGTCGGATTTTAGAAATAATAAGCATGTTTCTTTTGTTTTGGCTTTAGGTCATGTGTTTAAATTACAACTGTGACATTCAAGATTTTTTTTTTAAAAATCTCCTTGTATATATTTCTTGTTCCGCCACTGCCCACATTTTGTTTCTTGTCATAACTAAGTATTAAATAAGTATGAGCTTTTAAGTTCGAGATTCAGAAATGAACTTTTTGTAATTATTATCCAAGAATATTATGGTATAATAGATCTTTATAGAATTATAGTCCACAAACATATAATAACTCAAAACAGTGATGACTAGCAGTGATGCTTGTGGAAGTCAATTAAGGATGGTGTTGACGAATGGTGGGGTGGGATTAGTAGCTAGTGGTGATGGTGTTGGCAGTGGAGGTTGATGGTGGCCGTTGATAGTTAAGTTGGATAATAGTGATAATTAATGGTAATGGGGACAATGATAGTGATTGTCAATATATAATGTCGTGATTAGTGGTTGTTGTAGACTTGTAGTACTGATGGTTGGTGAAGAAGATTATAAATGATAGCTAGTGAGGTGAAGGAGCATCCAAGTGGTAAGCTTGGCCCCTGGAAGCAGATTTGGAGGAACAAGGTGCCACCAAGGTAAAGTGTTTCTCCGGGTTGGTTGCCAGAAGAGCATGCTCCACTCATGAGAAATTGAAAAGGAGGGGTTTCTATATTGCCTCTTGGTGCTCTCTCTGTAATGAGACTGAGGAAACCAACAACCATTTGTTCCTCCATTGCAAAGTGACAACACAATTTTGGAACCTTTTTTTGGGACCAACACATACAAAATGGATTATGCCTGAGCATACAGCAGATCTACTTAGTTGCTGGATCAGCAGAGGGGGGAGAAAATCTAAGAAAAAGTGGTGGAGTATAATACCATCATGCATCTGGTGGTGTATTTGGAAAGAAAGAAATAGCAGATGCTATGATAACAAAGCTAATCTAATAGAGAAAGTCAAATGGAACTGCTTGACTACTTTTTATTTTTGGTGTAAAGAGGAAGGGATAGACCACTCTTGCGAGAAGCCTATACATCAGTCCTAATATAGTCAATAGATTCCATACATGAGCTTGGATATGTGTTTCTCAAGAGTACAACACCATGGATCTCCTTAGGAATAACATAAAATCCATCAAAGGTTGCACCAAGGAAAAAGGAAACTCTAAATTTGTTGGAAAAGATGACGGAAAGAGATCTAGAAATTTACCTTCGTGATCTTTTAAAAGAACCCAAATACCTTGTGGTGGTCGATGATTTATGGCAAAGAGAAGCATGGGAAAGTCTAAAACGAGCATTTCCGGACAGCAAGAATGGCAGCAGAGTTGTTATTACCACGCGCAAAGAAGATGTCGCTGAAAGAGCAGATAACAAAGGTTTTGTCTATAGACTTTGTTTCCTGAGCCAAGAAGAAAGTTGGGATCTCTTTTGTAGGAAACTACTAGATGTTCAGGCAATGGTCTCAGCAATGGAAAGGTTAGCTAAGGATATGGTGGACAGGTGTGGAGGTTTACCTCTTGCAATTGTTGTATTAAGTGGACTACTTTCACATAAAAAGGGGTTCGAAGAATGGCAAAAGGTGAAGGTCCACCTTTGGCAGCACATTAAAGACGACTCTATTGAAATCTCCTACATACTATCATTGAGCTACAATGATTTGTCAACTGCGCTCAAGCAGTGTTTTCTGTACTTTAGTATTTTTCCAGAAGATCGAGTGCTCGAGGCTGAAAACATAATACGGTTGTGGATGGCCGAGGGTTTCATACCAAGAGGAGAAGAAAGAATGGAGGATGTCGCTGAAGGCTTCTTGAATGAGCTGATAAGACGAAGCTTGGTTCAAGTAGCTAAAACATTTTGGGAAAAAGTTACTGAATGTAGGGTTCATGATTTACTTCACGAGCTTGCCATACAAAAGGCATTGGAGGTAAACTTCTTTGACATTTATGATCCAAGAAACCACTCCATATCCTCCTTATGTATCAGACATGCCATTCATGATCAAGGAGAAAAGTACCTCTTACTTGATCTTTCTAACTTAAAGTAAAGGTCAATTATATTCTTCGATCCAAATTTTCGGAACATGAATCTTATAAACTTCAGTAGTGTGTTCCAACATATATATGTGTTATACTTGGATATTCTTGGTGGCACTGTACCTTATGCCATAGGAATTTTGTACCACCTCAAGTTCTTAAGCTTGAGAGGTATTGGTAATCTTCCCTCCTCCATTGGCAACCTCAAGAATTTACAGACACTTTGTGTCAAAAGTGAATTTAGACATTTGTGCCAACTAACCCCCGAGACAGCTGACCTAATAAATCTAAGACATTTAGTTGCTCAGTATTCTGAACCTCTGGTACGTATAAGCAAACTCACTAGTCTTCAAATTCTTAAAGACATCTCTTGTGATCAGTGGAAAGATGTTGACCCTATTAATTTAGTCAATCTTCTTGAATTAAGCATGATTGATATTACTAAATCTTACTCCCTAAACAACATTAGCAGCTTGAAAAACCTTAGCACTCTCAAATTGTTTTGTAGAGGTGGTCAATCATTCCCAGACCTTGAATTTCTTTATTATTGTGAAAAGCTCCACAAATTGTGGTTAGATGGGAGAATAGAGAAACTGCCTCTGTTACCAAATTCCATCACAATGATGGTTCTTTTGGATTCAAAAACTTCATGGAAGATCCGATGCCTATTTTGGGAATGTTGCCAAACCTAAGAAAACTCGAATTTCTTAGAGCTTATCAAGGAAAAGAGATATTCTGCAGTTATAATAGCTTCCGTCAACTCGAGTTCCTTAGTCTTGCTTGTCTTGAGAACCTAGACACATGGCATTTAGCCACAAGTGCCATGCTTCTGATTAAAGGTCTTCGTATTGATCACTGTAAAAAGCTGAACAAGATTCCCCAGAGAATGAAAGACGTGAAGCTTTTCAAGCATATGAGAGGTTTTATTTGATAATAGCAAAGGTAAATATTCAAACAAATCTCAATCCTACATAACTTTCTTCATTTTTTTTCTTTTATATAAATTAATATTTGTGTTAAACAGGAGAAGAAGTTGTCACTTGAACCATTCACCTTCATCAACTTGGGCTCTCAATTTACTCATTATTTCAACATTCAGTTTTTTTGTTTTATTTTGGTTTTTCAATGTTTCATTTCTCTCTCTTTTTGTCTTTATTTAGTGCATGTGTGGAATTGGTTCAAAGAGAATTTGTTTTGGGATTATCTCACCTAATACTATTTGAGTCATTTGTCTAATGGTAGGGATATATGTGAGCCACTTTTGTAATGAGGGGGATATCAATTCTACATCGCAAAGTTGAGGGGTAGATCATACTTTTTCCCCTAAAAAATAAATAAATTATGCATTAGCTTTGTGTATTACTTGTACCTTGTCTGCAGGTATATTTTTTCAATCTATGTACACATAATACACCCTATATATAATTAAGATGCGTATAACATTGGACTATGGATTTTAACTTTGGGTTTGCCCACTATATCAACTACCGCTAGTTAACATAGACTTCAACAACCACAACTCGGCTAGCTCTAGCCACTAACTCAACTCATAATGAAATGAACTGATGTAATCTATTATCCTTTATAGCTTAAGAATATATTTACAATACGCGAGCACAAAATCCTATACTCAAATAACAACTTAAGGCTTTGTGACACTCGATCAGGTCCCTTGTTGCATGTGAGAGTAGTTCTTCCTTGGAAATGATTTTTGCTTTTGATAATCTTGATTGCAAAAATTAGGTTGTTTCTTGTCAACATATCCAGTGTATAAGAGAGACAAAACAACCTAATAGCATGTTATTGGTCGAGGACTGCTGTTCTTTCTACGCGTTTATTACCGTGCTCACCAATCACTGCAGTTTCTACAGCTTTACAGTTGCACTCCATTGACTTATCCTGAAAGACAAAAACTCAAAGGACCTAGTCCCTTTATCAGATATTATTTCTCTATAATTTGTTAAATCATCAGAATTCAAAAATACAAAATTTGATTGGTTCCATCATACATAGTGTTAAAAAATTAAAGTAGATTCGATGTTACTTTCATTATCATGATGCCTACCACTTCAAGAAAGCATCAATCAAGTTTCTGTTACTTTACTGATTATTTCAACTTTTTTTTTGTTTTAGTTTTTCAATGTTTAATTTCTTTTTTGTTTTTGGCTTCTTTAAGTGTGTGGAATTGGTTCAAAAGAGAATTACGATACACTTTTTCAATCAATGTATATATAATATTATATATACATAGTATTAAGGTGCGCATACTATTGGATGGTGGATTTTAACATCGGGGTTGCCATATAAGTTGCAAAAATCGCATTCACACGCTTATCTGGCATGAATCATAGATAATGTGACATGTGGACAAACATTATTTTAAGTGGCTCAAGGGTTGAGTAGTAGAGGTGGTCGATAGGTCCTAGTTCTAGCTGAGGCGTCTAGTAAAGTGAACTCTGCGGAAAATTTTGAAGGACCGCAGGTGACTTAAGCCTATATTCCTTGCCTGTTAACTTAATAGTGAAGAAGATAATACATATTTCTAGAAGAAGCTTTAATACATATTTCAAAAAAAATGTACCTTTCACTTAGCTTGTTGCAACTTTATCCTTTTTTATAATGGTAGTATAATCGCAAATTCTTTTTTCAAAAAACACATGGTCATGTTTCATTTTTTAAAAACATAAAATGGACCCTTTGAACACATGACTATTTATGTCTGAGTGCATATATCTCTTATCTCCCATTTTCTAACTTGTTTTCTAATATACTGCTTCCTCTTTTACAGATAAAAATCAATACTCCTAACGATGGCTGATGCCTTTCTGTCATTTGCAGTTCAGAAATTGGGTGATTTCCTCATTCAGGAAGTTAACCTACGTTTAAGTCTAAGAGAGGATATACAGTGGCTGTGAAACGAGATTCTCTTCATGCAGTCTTTCCTCAAAGATGCAGAACTAAAACAATGTGGAGATCATAGAATTCAACAATGGGTGTTTGAGATCAACTCTATTGCTAATGATGCTGTTGCTATGCTCGAGACTTATAGATTCGAGGCTGATAAAGGTGCTAGTCGTCTCAAGGCTGAGAAATGAGCTACTCTTCATACAGTCTTTCCTCAGAGATGCAGAACTAAAGCAAAGTAGAGATCAAAGAGTTCAACAATGGGTGTTTGAGATCAACTCTATTGCTAATGATGCTGTTGCTATGCTCGAGACTTATAGATTCGAGGCTGATAAAGGTGCTAGTCGTCTCAAGGCTTGCGCTTGCATTTGTAGGAAGGAGAAGAAACTCTACAATGTCGCCAAGGAGATTCAATCACTCAAGCAATGAATCATGGATATCTCTCGCAAACGAGAGACTTATGGTGTTACAAATATCAATAGTAATGCAGGAGAAGGGCCAAGTAATCAGATTATAACATTGAGGAGAACTACCTCATATGTGGATGACCAGGATTACATTTTTGTTGGCTTTCAGGATGTTGTACAAACATTGCTAGCTCAACTTATCAAAGCAGAGCCTCGTCGAACCGTCCTCTCCATTTATGGCATGGGCGGATTAGGCAAGACCACTCTTGCAAGAAACCTCTACACCAGTCCTAATATAATCTCAAGCTTCCCTACACGCGCTTGGATATGTGTTTCTCAAGAGTACAACACAATGGATCTTCTTAGGAATATCATAAAATCCATCCAAGGTCGCACCAAGGAAACTCTAGATTTGTTGGAAAGGATGACAGAAGGAGATCTAGAAATTTATCTTCGTGATCTACTAAAAGAACGCAAATACCTTGTGGTGGTTGATGATGTATGGCAGAAAGAAGCATGGGAGAGTTTGAAAAGAGCATTCCCGGATAGCAAGAATGGCAGCAGAGTCATTATTACCACGCGCAAAGAGGAAGTCGCTGAAAGAGCAGACAACATAAGTTTTGTTCATAAACTTCGTTTCCTAAGTCAAGAAGAAAGTTGGGATCTCTTTTGTAGGAAACTACTTGATGTTCGAGCAATGATTCCAGCAATGGAAAGTCTAGCTAAGGATATGGTGGAAAAGTGTAGAGGCTTACCTCTTGCAATTGTTGTATTGAGCGGACTACTTTCGCATAAAAAGGGGCTAAACGAATGGCAAAAGGTGAAAGACTGCCTTTGGAAGAACATTATTGAAGATAAATCTATTGAAATCTTCAGCATACTATCATTAAGCTTCAATGATTTGTCAGTTGCGCTCAAGCAGTGTTTTCTGTACATTGGTATTTTTCCAGAAGATCAAGTGATCGATGCTGAAGACATAATACGTTTGTGGATGGCAGAGGGTTTCATCATACCCAGAGGAGAAGAAAGAAT